GAATGGCTAACTTTTAAAGTTAAATTGAATTAATATTACTTTATTTTTGAAATCTAGTTAGACATTCTAGAAACTAGACTGAAGTCATTATATATATTATTATTATTACTACCTCCGTCCACTTTTAATTGTCATGCGATAAGTACTTTGACTAACATTATATGATGTAGTTTTTCATCATATTGATATCCAAAAAATTGCAATTTGTAGTATTTTTCGTATAGTTTTTGAATATCTAAATTTTTAGTTTAAAATATTGAACTAATGTAATCAAATTTAACTTTAAAAATTAGTCAAATTGACTTTCGAAAAGCGCAACATGAAAATAATCTAATTTTAGTTCTAAATATTAGTTAACGTGATTCTCGAGAAGAGAAAAATATCATATAATTGACACGAAGAAATATTAAATGGTGCCCTGGTGGTTGGTGATGGAATGATTTTCACTCAGTGTGTAGAATTCCTTGCAGTAAAAATGGTGCATTTTCTATAGTGGCCCTGCATTATCTGAATACTTTTTTTCAATTCAAAGTGAAGTAAAGGTAAATAGTCTATTCCTAGTTCAAGCTACTTCAGAGGATTCAACACGTTAAAACTTTAAAGCAAAAATATTAGAAAAGGGGACTTTATTTAATAAGCTCAGCCAATAATTCAACTAGTTTGTCATGACCAGTTGGGCACCTTCACGCTCAGAAGCGAATCTAGAATTTAGAATTTATAGGTTTGAATTTGAAATTTTATCACAACCTATTTCCTGTTCCAAATCTATAAATATATGTATTATTCTTTGAAATTAAACACATATACAAGATATGAGTCAAAGTTATTAGATTCAGATAACTTGCAAGGCTATAACAATCATATACATAATTTTTTGTAAGCATTATCAATATTTAAAGAAATGTAAAAAAAATAATGAATAAATCACTATGATAATAAATGATATCAAACTTTATATATGTTTATACCTAGTATTATCTTTTTTGCTTAGTATATGAATATGAATATAATATATACGGCAAAACTTTTGATTAAGCGATGTCTCGTAACACCACTTGAAGCATGTATATCCACCCCAAAAAATGTTGATTAAGCAGTGTCTCGTAACACAACTTGAAGTAAGGTATAATTACCCGAAAAATGTACACACTACCTCTGCCCCTGTCTACGACTTGGAAGAAGTAGAGTCATGGACACATTTGTCCATTCTCTTCTAGATTGGGCCTACACTGATGCAAAGTCAATGGTCCAGTTTTTCTGTTTACCCGTTCAGGCCCAACTTGAGATATGGTCTCTGCGTCACTGCAAGTAACCTTCCATAAAATTGCACGCTTTGCTCTTCAAATGGATTGACTTTTAATTATTGCTCTTTAAATAGGTTGATTCGTAATTCTTGTCCGTTAGCATTTGAATATATGGCTAGTGAGGCATAAATCTTTTAAAACCAAAGTCATATCCGGACATAACTTGTGAAATATTATGATATGAATAAATAAACTTATGTCCCATGAAAAAAATATTTGTCACTAAGTGTAAACAACCCTGGTAACTTCTTCCCATCATTAATTTAACGCGTGCCAAGAAGAATGGTCCATTTCACTTTTCAACTTATGTACAACATATCCAAAAACCAACTTTGCACATGGCAAAAGTTAATTTATCAGTCACCATGTCTCTAACAACTTCACCCACTACTAGTTGATCAAACTTATATATAGATATAGTTGCCTCGAAGTAGTACGTAAGTAATTACTTCAACTAAAAATGGGATATGCTAGTAGTGTTTGGCTTGGAGTTTTGGTATTCATTTCAATTCATGGCTATGGCAATATTAGACTATTTGAGGCTTCTTCTCGTGTCATACAGACACCCGATCAGATATACCGCACTGGTTATCATTTTCAACCTGCCAAGTATTGGATGAACGGTAAGTATTCGGAATATCACTCATTAATCAAAAAGACATTCAACTACGAGAAAAAATCGATCCTTCTAGGATTATTTCTACCTTGTGCGGTTGTGCCATATAATCCTAATTCTTTTTGTTGTTTTTCTTGTTTTGTGTTGTCACGTGCTACTTTATGGTGATCAAATTTACAATTGTTGGTTTTCGTTTCGCAGATCCTAATGGTAAGTTTCTCAAATTACTTGTATTTTTTCTGCGAATGTGTTTGGTACGATAAAAGTCATTGAAGGTCGCTATAATTATGCATGCAGGACCAATGATATACATGGGGATTTACCATTTCTTCTATCAGTACAATCCTTACGATGCACAAGCAGGTAACATAGTATGGGGCCATTCCACATCGACCGATCTCGTCAACTGGACGCCTCAGCCGCCGGCGCTTCTCCGATCAGAGCCTTACGATTTCAAAGGCTGTTTTTCCGGTTCTACAACTCTTCTCTCCGGCGGAAAACCGGCGATTCTCTACACCGGCGTAGATTTCTCCGATAACCAGGTACAAAATCTAGCAGTCCCCAAAAATTTAGCTGACCCGTACCTTACCGAATGGGTAAAATCGCCTTACAATCCATTAATCGCACCGAATTCGGTAAACAAAATTGATGGACAAAATTTCAGAGATCCAACTACTGCTTGGCTAAATCCTGACGGAAATTGGAGAATGGTAGTTGGAAATCAACAAGACGGAAACGGAATTGGCTTATTGTATAGAAGCAAAAACTTCATTGATTGGATTCAAGCTGAAAATCCACTGCATTTTATGAACTATTCTGGAATGTGGGAATGCCCTGATTTTTTCCCTGTTTCAACAATCAGTCAAAATGGTCTAGAAACTTCTACAATGGGTCCAAATGTGAAACATGTATTCAAGGCAAGTAAAGCAAGCACTGATTTCTACACAGTTGGTACATATAATCCGAATAAAGATATTTTTATCCCGGATAACAAATCACTTGATATTGGATTAGGATTTCGTTACGATTATGGTAAATTTTATGCATCGAAAAGTTTTTTCGAGAGTTCTACTAGTAGGAGGATTTTGTTTGGATGGGTTAATGAATCAGTAAATAATCTTGAGATGAATAGTATTAGAGGATGGGCTGGTCTTCAAGGAATTCCTAGAAGGATTTGGCTTCATAAATCTGGAAATCAGCTGCTTCAATGGCCGATAGTTGAAATTGAAAAGCTTCGAATGAATCCAGTTATTGAAGATACTTCTGTGCTTATGCCAGGATCCATACGTGAAATTTCTGGAGTCAATGCTACGCAGGTAAATAAACTTTTTGCTGTAAATTTATTTTTAACATGTTTCAAACAAGTAATCCGTGGGCGTGGCCGAGCCAGAACTTCACGGATATCTCACTATCTTTAAGGAGATTCTAGTCCAAGGCACAAATGTAATGCCCATCAATAAACATAACATGATATATTAATATTAAAATGTAACACTAACACTTTTTCTATAGGAAATTGCTTATTGACGAACTAAATTTTGACGGGATATCGTCAAATGATCACGAAAGCTTTAGATTCCTTCTGTTTTTAACTAATTGTAACTATGAATTGGCTTACAGGCAGATATAGAAATGTCATTTTCAGCTAAAACGTTGGAAAAGGCAGAGAAATGGGAAGCAAATTGGACAAATCCACAACAAGTGTGTAGCACAAAAGGTGCATCAGTAAAAGGTGGGATTGGGCCATTTGGGTTACTAGTCTTGGCATCTAAAGACATGCAAGAATATACTGCAATTTTCTTCAGAATTTTCAGAGGAGATAACAACAATTTTATAGTCCTCATGTGTAGTGACCAGACCAGGTATCAAATTTGATCTCTCTTTCACTATTAATTGTCAGTGTAAGAAATTTTTTATGCGATCGAGTTATTTATAATACCTTTTTTTCTTAATTAAGTATTCATTTTTTTTTTCATTTTTGTAGGTCTTCCTTACACTTGCCTTCTAGTGATTATGACAAAACAACTTATGGGGCCTTGTTGAATGTGGATCCTCTTCAAGAAAAATTGTCTCTCAGGACTTTGGTATGTTTTTTTAGTCATGAATAAAAGTCATGATAAAATTGTATACAATTCTAGGTGTTTGGTATGATAGGAAAATATTTTTAAGAAATAAGTTATTTTCTTATAAAAAGAAGAATTGCTTGAGAAAACATTTGTACGACTATCAATCTTTAATCTCTCTAAACATTTTCTAAATGACTTGCGTTATATCAAACACATTCTCAGTTTCAACCAGAATATAATGAATATGTTTTGTTTTTTAGATTGATCACTCAATAGTGGAGAGCTTTGGTGGAGAAGGAAAAGCTTGCATTACAGCTAGGGTTTACCCAACTAATTTAGCAGTGGATGGTGCAACCCATTTATATGTCTTCAATAATGGTTCACAGAGTGTTGACATCTCAAAATTGACTGCTTGGAGCATGAAAACAGCTCAAATCAATTGATTAATTCCAACATATATAGATTTATTTTCTTAATTTGATAACATTATATTTTATTAATAGACTATGTAATCTGCATATTGTGACACACGTATTCGAATAAACTGTATTTCTCTTAAAGTATTATAGTTGTGTAGCACATGAAGTATGTGTTTAGTCCGGTCCAGTAGCGAAGGATATAGACTGAAGGGTGGTCAGTTGGACACTTCTCTTTAAAAAAATAAAATTAGATGGTATATACAAAAAAAAAAAACTATATTGTGTATATATATAAGACAAGAATTACTTAATATAGGTAATTACTTTTACTATTGAACTATTACATAGGAAAAATCTTCAAACTATTGGTTGAAAATAAGACGCACAAAAGACCAAACAAAAAAATCCTACAACTTTCTTGAATAATTGAACTCTACATTCTGAATTCACCTTTATGCAGATCAAGAAGACAACACAAAACAAAACAACAAATTAGCAAGACAAACAAACAAAAAAAAGATCAATCTTACAACATTCTTGAACAATTCAACCGGGTCAATTGAACTCCAAATTCTAAATCTACCTCTATTCATGATCAAGACGGCAACTCAAACCGGCAAGTTGGACAAACCCTCTTTACCCCTAACCAATTCATTAAACAATTCTCATGGTATACATGAGAACAAGGCATTTTTGTTGCTTCACTTCCAACTTCCATCTTTTCCATACATATCACACACACAAAATCACTTCCCAATTCTGTTTCTTCAATTTTCACCTTCTCCAAATTTTCTTCAACCAATTCATTAGCAGGACGAATTTCCTCATCACTATTTTCATTTTCTTCAATGAAGTAATCAACAGGAAGGCTAATATAAACTTTCATTGGCAATATTTTCTTGTTCCTATTATAAGTTTCATTAGCAATTCTATCAGCAAAAGTACATATTTGACGTAATATCATTGGTTGTCTATGTACCGGCACTTCCATTATATGTAACATTCTTGTAACGTTATGCCACGATAAGTTGTTATGGGGCAATCGATCACATCGCTCTTGAAATATTCCGATTTTAATAATGCTCTCTAAACGGGACACATTGAGTTCTTCATCTTCATCTTCATCTTCTTGTTCTCTAAGAAATTCGACCTCGAATTTGATGAAAAATTGATCGTAGGATGTTGGTTCAACACTGCTTGTGTCAAGACTTTCATCTTGGTGAGCATCACAATAATCATCTCCTGCATAATCCATTAGGAATTTTTTAAATGGAATTTGTTTTAAGTTGATATATTGTATTGTGAGTTTTAGAGTATTATATATAATTTTTTTAAAACTAATGGAGTATCCTGACGTACTAGGAAACATTTAAAATTTGTTTTTAAGTGGGAAAAGGATTAAGGTGATATCCTAAAAGTATAAGGAAAGCTATTAGAGTGGGTTAGGAAAATATTAAGGTTGGTTTTAATTTGGAATGATAATAATGAATTTTCTTTTTATGGCTTTAATATGGAAAAATATTAATATACTATTTCTAGTCTATATTAAGTGAATCAATGAGACAATACATACCTAAAAATAATTTAGGACATAGATTGAATATCATTTTTCATTTTTGTTCTTTTAGTTATTCTTATACTATTCTTGAAAATAAAAATAATTCAAAGTAAAATCATAAATATAAGCAATTAAGTCTCTTGAACTTATCATCTAGACAATATAAATGAATGACAAAAATGGAAAAAAGTTCAAACATTTATCTTAAATTTTAAAACAATTCACTTATTTTGAACATTGAAAAAGGGAGTAATGATTAGGAAACATTTTAAGTAATATTTTGATTACATTGAAATTTGAATGATTATTGTTACAAAAGAATTGTTTAGTAACTTACATCATAATGAGGTAATGTTGAGGATTTTTTTAAATTTGTCCTTCATATCAAAGATATTATTTTTACACATTAAAAAAATATAAACATAACAAAAAATATGAAAAAATAATCATATTCTTCTACTCAAATTGTTAGTAGTCATAGGTTATTTCCTCCTTGATGAAATAAAGCTAAAATTGAGAAAATTGTTAATAGTTATAGGAGGTCATTTCCTCTCTGTGTTAAGATTTTGATGCATTAAAGCTAAGATTGAGAATAAGGGCTTGTTTGAATATGTGATATGGAATCATAGTTTGAAATGAGATCAATTTTAATTGAAATTGAAAGTTTTGTTTTAACATGCAATGTGAACTTTTCAAATTGTATTATTATTATTTTTCATAAACATAAAACCACACAAAGTTGTGAAAATTAGCCAAAAAATTTCAATTCTTATACAATTTTACAAAATAAGCAAATCATAATTCAAAACAAAATAGCCAAACTTCATAAGGCCCTGCATCAATTAACCGCATACCTTTATATTCTTTTTATAAGTAAAAATGTGTGATTACAAGCTTTCAAATACACAAAATTTTATAAAAATATCTTCACACTACACATAATTTTTATTTTTTCTGAAATCTGAAATAAAGGATTTTCTTTTTACAATATAAATTTCAGTCAAGTTTTACATTTTAAAAAATAAATAAAAATGGAACCATAATTTGGATGCTTTTTAGAGAATTTGGAATATGAATCATAATTTTATATCACCATGTCCAAATGTTGATTTGAATCATAATATGAAATTGCATGTCCAAAAAAAGGCTAAGAAACTATCTAACTTGGCTGAACAGTTGCGTAAGTTGAGCTAAAACGCAAACTTAAACGAGCCCAGATGTTGATATAAGCAAAGAACAGGACATAAATATGAAATTCTTGTTATAAGCAAAGCTGACCCCCCAAGCAAACACACAAAGCCCCACTAGATTTTACAAAATTGATAACTAAACAAAAAGGAAGATCGGAAAGAAAGAGCAGACATAAAAACACGGCCAACGCGAAATTAACAACGAATGACATGGTTGGGGTTCATGAGCTGTTATGGGCACACAACACAAACTACTGCTGCTTGCACTCGGGAGGACGTTCTCCCTGTTGACCTTCTCCAGCTTGTGCTTTGGCACTCTTCTGCAATTTTGTCAAATAAATACACATCACATGCTCAAGAAAATGAAAGGAAATTTACATTATCACCTAAAAGAAATGATGCATCAAAGCAGTTCCTTCATCTAATAAACCATTCGGGATAGACACAAAAGAAAAAGAAAATAAAATCAGCATCACCAGAAAAACAAGGGGAAAATATGAATTACTTTGTAGAAGCAAGCTAAACAAATAATACCTTCTTTTTGCTCTTCTCCTCTTCTTCATCTTCATCTTCATCTTCATCATCATCCTCTTCTTCATCCTCATCTTCGTCTTCATCATCACCTTCAATATCTTCAAATTCATCCCCTTCAGCAGCCTCACCAGTAAACCATGACACAGCATGGGGGATTATTTTAGCTCGGATTGTCGAGCTGCAAACATGGAAGTCCCAAATGGAAACGTCAGACACTCTTTCAGTGTAACACATAGAAAACATAGCACCATAGAATTCTAGAACATGTAGAAGTTATTGGGACACCAAGTTGTAACGAATTCTAAAGGTAAAGGGGAAGCAGCGACGGACCCAATATCATAATCTTGTTCCATTAGATTCTGCAGGTCTTCAGCCTGACAAGACAGTAATTACCAAATAAGATCAAGAACATTCTGCATTACATAACAAAATCAAAGTTGTTGAACCTACCGCATCTTCATCTATATCATCATCATCATCTTCAGGTACTTGGGGTGGATTAAAGAAATTGAAAAAGCTCTCACAGCTTTCAGTCTTAATTACGAATTTAGCATTCTTTGACCCTTTCTTTGGCTTCCTTTTTAGGATCTTCTGTGTCAAGCATTTACCGGGATACCATTCAATGTTGGTCCTGCAAGACAACTCACATCAAATAAACAAACAAAAATAGGATAACAGTATGTAAAACCAGAACATAGAGAAGTTAGAACTTACCCTATGGCCTTCTCCAATATGGGATCATCATCATCATCAATCATGTGATAGGTTTTAGTCAAGACAGAATTCTTGAAGAAAGGGTTTGTATCGAAGAAGAATTCAAGCTTAAAGCCCTTTCGATCATCAAGCTTGCACCACTTGATATCCTTGAGGTACTTCAAGGCCTCTTCATCACGCTCAGAGATCTACAGCAGTCATTTGCGATCAGTTAAAAGACCAATAATTCAGACCAAGAAATATTTGTATCATTATTATTATTATTATTATTATTATTATTATTATTATTATTATTATTATTATTATTATTATTATTATTATTATTATTATTATTATTATTATTATTATTATTATTATTATTATTATTATTATTATTATTATTATTATTATTATTATTATTATTATTATTATTATTATTATTATTATTATTATTATTATTATTATTATTATTATTATTATTATTATTATTATTATTATTATTATTATTATTATTATTATTATTATTATTATTATTATTATTATTATTATTATTATTATTATTATTATTATTATTATTATTATTATTATTATTATTATTATTATTATTATTATTATTATTATTATTATTATTATTATTATTATTATTATTATTATTATTATTATTATTATTATTATTATTATTATTATTATTATTATTATTATTATTATTATCATCATCATCATTATTATTATTTACCTCCTCTGCCAATATCTCGTTAGTTTTCATTGCAGTCAGCCAAAAGTTGGGAACACCTTTCTCTGGCACCAAATTAACAGCATAAAAAATTAAAGTCTGTGTCAAGATCAATCTGCATGGATGAAAGAAATGCAATAAATAGTTTACCATTTTCAGTCTCACTATCCTCGCCCTGGATCATGGGAGCTTCATCAACACCATCCACTTCGACAACCCCATTTACTATTTCATATCTCTGCAACACATCCATAAAACAGCCAAACCATAACTCATTTCCTTTCTCTCGTTTTTTGGGGGGTTGGGGGTGGGTTAGGGAGGGGCGGGAGAACTAATTTCAACTGCACCATGGACAGAGTTATTCTTCTCACCTTTGAATACAATGGTTCATACAGCTTTTGGTATTTAGATTCTAGTGCAGCCCTCTCCTCGAAAAACTTTGCTTCCAGCTCATCATGTTGGCTCTATATTTAGATAAAATCATGTTAAGCTTTTTTCTTCCATTTAGAGGGAGCAATCGGAAATATGCCAGCCTCATATAAAAAGCTAATCTAATCCACATATAAAAAAAATGGTAGGAGAAAAGAGAATGGACACCGCAAAATGCAAATTAATCATTAGGTTAATAATCTGTTTCTCTGTGACCATATTTCCCAAATTTTAAGCCTTATTGGGCGCCTTTGTTTTGGGTAAAAAATGTCACGGGTTCAAATCCTGTCAGATCAGAGTCATCTTATCTTTACTACTCCCTAGAAGATAGCATCAGAATTCTCCGATTTAATAGAGTCATTGAATCTTTAGAACCATGTGCCTAAGAGGGCGAGGACGATGCCAACTTTCTCTTAATTCGTGCACTTACATACAAGACTTTCAATCAAGATTTTCCTTGCAAGCCGATTCCTTTCTAGGTTTCGTCGTAAACCTAATTGGTTATTTCCCAAGTTCTTAGGAAGAGCCGTACGAGACAGCTCACGAAAATAGGCATGGCTGAATAAGAGGCCATGCCATCACAAAACATAGCAAATTTATCTGCAATATGCGCGTCTTTCAAGATGGGCACAACTTATACCAAGTTATATTATGTAAATAAAGGATAACCAGTTGCAACAGGGCACAGTCACCAAAACCATGGTCATATTCATCTGTCAGTCTGTCTTCCTCCCATATAACTGTAGATGAATATCAGGCATGACTAGTAGCACACCATGATCTTCACTGTTATCTGTCATAAGGACATCCCTAACAGCCTGCTATTATGTTAAAACAATGAATTAATAGCTAGATGGTCTAAGAAATTTAAAGTGAATATTCATTAAGACTAAGTGTAATATTAAGTGAAGGAAAGGAGAATTTTAGGAAAAAGATATATTTTCAAATCTTTTTCCCCTTACTGTTAATATCATCAAAGCAATCTTTTCCTCACTCTGGATCATATAAAACATAGTTGTCTAGACACAGGCTTCTGACGAGTGTGACCTTTTTGAAGTACTCAATCTTTTAAGGACCTAAATATGGTTACAAAAAGAACTACACTGCCATCACATATATATCCCAAATGATATATATATATATACACACACACACACACACATATTCAGATTCTTTTGAAACAAGATTAACGGTGCATTGTTAAAAAAAATTATAAATAGAATAACAATGCATTATCCCCACAGTGGAAATACTTTCAAGGTCTTATAATTTAAGGTATGATTTTGCTCGAATCTTCCTCTTTAATTTTCCCCCATCTTCTTCTTGAATTTCCTTAGTTGCTGTTGGAAACCAGGAGTGACATCGGATATGCTAAACAAAAATGGATAAAATATTTGACCTACCCATATTTAACAAAGATAAAAAATGGGTCAAGGTTAACCGACATATAATATGGATAGTTTCAGGAATAGTTAGGTGAGAACACAAGCTAAAAGTCAAAATAAGCTTAGACTCCAAGAAAGTAAGAACTCAAGAAATATTAAAGCAGACAAATGGGTATTGATAATATGGATATCCATATTATCCATCTGGATATCGATTTTTAGTGGAAAATACGAATAGTATCCATATTTGATCCATTTTTACTTAGTCAGTTATCCAACTCATATTTAATGGGTTGGATTGAACGGTTACTTGTATATTTAACCATTTTGTCAGCCCTTCCGGAAACTGTTAACTGATTCAGGTGTCTGCTTATTGCTTTAGGTCCTTAACTTAATCAAGCCTATTGCGGCTGTGAGAAAGCTGTTTGTCACGCTTAGTTTGTCTTCGGATTTGCCAGAAGTTGCTTTTGGAGATGAAAAACAGCTTATGCAAATTCTTTTAAATGTTGTTGGCAATGCTCTAAAATTCTCAAAAGAAGGCAGTGTGACAGTTTCTGCGGTTGCTGCAAAATCAGATAATTCAATAGATCCTAGAACTCTAGAGTCTTTTTCTGTGCAAAGTGAGGATCACTTCTATTTACGTGTACATGTATGTTTATAGGTTTATTTTAATGCTTGGTATTTAGTATTTCCAGCATAAATGGTAGTTGCTCTGTAATTCATTTTGGGTAGTGATTGTTGTTGGTTTTACTGCTACTTTTCCGTGTTACTTGGGTAAAAGATACAGAATCAGGCATTAATCCTCAGGATATCCCAAGTTGTTCTGTAAATTTGCACAAAACCAGACACTAACAATTAAAAATTCTGGTGGCTCTGGACTTGGCCTTGCAATTTGTAAGAGGAATCTCACTTCACTGGTGTTTGTTTTGAATGCGACTTTCAGTTTGCTATGATAATTGAGAACTGCTCTAGATTGAGTTCTTTGTGTTTTTAGGGCTGATGCACATTTCTTGGAAATTTTGTTCATGGGATGTTGAGGCACTTAACAACAGTGGTCATATATCTGATGTTGGCCTGAATCAGGTTTGTTAATCTCACGGAAGGACACATTTGGATTGAAAGTGAAGGTCTCGGAAAGGGGTCTACTGCTATCCTTATTGTTAAACTTGGCATTCCTGGCACATGCAGATGACTTTTCAAGGACCAAAGGTCTTGGTTATGGATGATAATGGATGAGTGCTCATACTAGCTCTTATCTTTAGACCTCTTATTTGTCCTGCATTTTCTGTCCAATGAATCTTTTTCTAATGTACGTTGGTCTATTTTACGTGAGACTGGACATTTACAAGCTGAAAAAAGTGGTATTTGTTGGACATCACTTTGGAACAAGGACCCTGACCATCTATTAAATGTCTATGGAAGTTAGAGTCTAATAACTTCATGTACGGTGGAATGTTCTAAAACTTAAATATATTAGGAGTATAATCTAGATGATGAGCATCCGAAGGGTAGCGATCGCGAGTTCTCTTGTCATAAAAAAGAAGTCCAAGGTAGGGACGAATCGATAAAAACAAGAGACTATTTTTCCTAAATAGTTCATTTAACTATTTCTTGCAAAGATCATAATCATTTGGTTCTGGTTCCACTAACGCTCAGAAAAGATAGAAGAAAGGAAGCACATGGTCAGTATCTATTGTGAGTATTTATTTAGCTTATAGTTGGTTTACGGTCTATACACGTGCTAGCACGGGCCATACCCTGTCTAGTAAAGAGAGAAAGGAGTTCAACCGATTTGGTGGAAAAAAACTCTACAGATAATAGCAAAGCCTATATGACACTCCTAACTTCTTTCCCGGTGCCACTATACAGCATGGAACATGAAAAACTTTAAACTTCCAAAAACACACCTCAAAACCTTCAGATATCACTCACATTCCTCTCTACATTTATCAACCTAGACATTATATTCAAACTATAGATTGAATTACAATGCAGCTTTAACTCAATCACTCACATACAAAACAAAACAGATTAATCAGTCATACTATACCATCAAATACCAAATTAAATACATCTAAAAAAAAAACATGAACGTCTTAGCAATGAATAAAAGCACCTGAAGCTCTCTTAGAACATCTACACGCTTCCTAACTGGTGGCGTCAAAGTCTCGAGTATATCCGTATGCTTCCCAGCCAAATTCTGAAGCTTATCCTACAAATTCCACAAAAAAAAACAAAGATGAAAACATGTAGCATTTAGATAGAAAACAAGTGGAACCAAAATATTATTAACCAAACCTTGAGCGCGTTGACTAAGCCAGCACGATCCTCGGCACTCAAAGCTACACAGAAACAACCATAAAATCAATGGAATTAATTTTAATTCATCAATAAAAAAAAACGAATGATTAGGGATTTTACCGGCGGCAGCGGCGGGGGGGGGGAGGGGGGTGGTGGGGGGG